TATCGCATTCCCGAATGCCGCGACTGGTGGCAGCCACATGGCTCAACATTGAGCTGGGAAATACGACACATGGCACATAGAAGGCTGTGTACCTTCGGCTAATCTACATGGGTATTTGATCTTTACGGTTCGGCGTAGTGGCAACCTTCGATACCCGGCATCTGGAACACTTTGTGGGGTTAATGTACGGATATGAAGCGGCTCTCTGCGAGCTGCATGTGTTTGGTAATTTTAATTGCAAGATCTTTTCTTATGTATAATACTTCGGTTGGAGGCCAGATTCCGTTCTTCGGATGACGAACGGCTGGACACGACACGACGACCGGCTGATGTTGGTCAGCAAGGGGTAGATGTGTTGTTGTTGTTGAAGGGATACGGGATATTTGCCGAGTTGCAAACAAAGGACCATTGCAGTCGAAACAATGAAGATAATGATAATATCGAAGTAGGCCCTTCTCTGTTGCAGCCTGTCTGATAACGATACTTCCACAAACCATGCCTTCTCTTCCTGCGAACATCCACGGGTCGGCCGTAATCATCGCCACAAGATCTACTCTCCGTCCAGACCTCACCCAGGTAAATTGCCCGCCACCCGTCGCCTCGGTGCTACAGTGCGGACCCTGGAGAGTGCGCGCATCAATCTAGCAGCAGCACTAACCCGTGCCACCTAGGCTAAAGTAGGAAGCCGACTTGACTACTTGGCACGACCCCACCAATTGACCTTCCATTCGAGCACCAAGCCCGATAAGCTTCTGTACTTCGATCCACCGCGCTTGGTCACTACGTAAACCTCCTTCTGCTTTGGAGCTGGCGGTGCAGACAAGCACGACAGATCTCCTAAGCTTTTTTCGGTGCCATCAGCGGTTTAATAGGCGTTGAGTTTAATGACTCGGTAAGCCTTGCAGCCGATGATCCTGTGGCCCTTACCAAGGGCCGCAGGATGGGCGGCAAAACGGTATAGCGTCGAAGTTAGCTATGTATATATGGGCGGCCTGAGGATGGCGAAGATGGATCTCTACGCCGTTCTTTCGTCCTTGAGTCGCTGTCGTGGTCTGTGCCGTCGATTGGGCTGTGTGTCTGGCAACCTTGGTACCGAAGCTGCGCAGAAGAACATCTTCGCTCTTCTCCCGACGCCAATACCTTCCTCTCGCAGATCTCTTGCGGAGGTAATCCGGGTACAACAGATCCTATCCACGCATCGTTACTTCGTTCATTCTCAACATGCGGTCCTCGGTCTCCGTCGCGGCAGTGGCCCTTGTCCTGTTGCAGGGCACCAACGCCTTGAATGCGGCCATTCAGCGCAAGCTTAATCTGCTTGCCGATATGGGCATGAATCCAGATGGCTCGGCCATGGTCACTTTCTCCGACGATGCCGACAACAGCGCTTTCGATGCCACGGCTTTCAAATCCCTCAAGATCGCGACTACGTCAAACAGCCCGGCTGTGTTGGCTGCCGCGCCGCTCAGAAACATCACTCCGGAATATGTCGAGCTGCCACTGGACCACTTCGCCTACAAGAAAGGCCAGGACTCTTCGTACCATGGCACATTCTTCAACAGGTACTGGGTCAACATGGATGCGTACAAGCCTGGCGGTCCCGTTTTCCTCTACGACACGGGCGAGGCAGATGCAGAGCCGGGTGCGCTGACCAGGCTGCTGAACGAAACCAGCTTTTTCAAGCAGCTGGTCGATGATTATAACGGTATCGGAATCGTTTGGGAGCATCGGTTTTACGGAAACTCAACACCCACCCCCATCGACCTCAACACGCCAGCCGAGGCATTCGAGTTCCTGAACACGGAGCAGTCGCTTAAAGATGTAGACGCCTTTGCTAGGCAGTTCAGCAGGAAGGGTGTCAATGCTACGCTCACACCCGACAAGACTCCTTGGGTTTTCGTTGGTGGCTCGTACCCCGGTATGAGGGCCGCTTTCATGCGCAACATGTACCCCGAAACCATCCACGCGTCTTGGGCCTCTTCAGCTCCCGTCGAAGCTTCCGTTGACCAAAGCTTCTACTTCTCACCTATCTGGCGCGGTATGCATGCCAAGGGCTTCGGAAACTGCTCCGAGGATGTCCACGCTGCTGTTAACTACATGGACAACATCATGGACACAGACTCACGCGCAACCGCCAAGCTTAAGGAGCAGTTCCTTGGTCTTGGAGCTGCCAACAACTCTAACCCCACCTTTGCCGATGCTCTTACGACTCCCTTCTACCTATGGCAGTCTTACGGTATGGAAGGTGGATCTCTGGGTCTCCGTCAGTTCTGCGACTACCTCGAGAAGGACCCCAAGACAAACACTACAGCTCCCGCGGAGGGCTGGTCCAAGAGCAAGGGCGCGAAATGGACGGTTGATCGATGGGCGAGCTACCCTGTCTTTGTCAACAACACGAACGCTTACTTGGAAACCGAGTGCTCGGGCAAGTTGAACGTGACTGGTAACTGTGACCTGAACCAGAGGTTCACAGATCCCGCTTCTATTGCCTGGACGTGGCAATACTGCACACAGTGGGGTAAGTCATTATATCTCCAACTTCCCTCCTTGCATAATACTAATTTACCCATCAGGATACTTCCAATCCGCCAACCTTGGATCCCAGCAACTCGTCTCCAAGTACAACTCGCTTGAACACCAAAAGGACATCTGCCACCGCCAATTCCCCAACGCTCCCAAGTCGCTCTTCCCTGAGTGGCCAAACACCGCCCGCACCAACAAGATCTTCGGAGGCTGGGATATCCGTCCTTCCAACACGTACTGGTCCAACGGTGAATTCGATCCCTGGCGCACTCTCTCCCCCGCTTCTGCTGAGCCCTTCGCGCCCAAGGGCGTCCAAGTCATCCAGGACGTACCCAAGTGTGGCAAGAAGACGAGCAGGAACGAGCTGTTCGGTTTGGTCCTCAAGGACGCACAGCATTGCTACGACTTCAGGACGACGGGTTCTACCGTACCCGATGGACCCGTTAGTCGGACGTTGTTCAGGAAGGCGCTAAGCGAGTGGCTGCAGTGCTACAAGCCCAAGAAAGGCCAATCGAAGCCTTGGAATGCCTAGATGCAGTATGCAGGTCTGGGAAAGGGCCGTCCCCTTGCTTCGGGTAGAAGAGGTGGCATTGCTACGTATTGTTCTTCCCTGCCACACCTTACTTAGACGTCATGATAACTATTATTCTTATCATCCTACAACTTTGACTTCGCCACTTTTCCCTGTGACTGCTGCTCTCGAGTTTTATCCAAGCGAGCTTCCCATTCCCAAACTTCCCCTGTAAATCTATCCTTCTCCCACGCCTCGTACACATTCCTCTTCTCTTCCTCGCCACTAACCCCACACATCTTTCTCCACACCTCCAACTGCTCTTTGAAACCCGGATTCGGGTCGCACACCGGTCGTCCCTCACATAGCTGGTCCAACGCTGCGGCAGGGGTGATGTTGTTTTTCCAGATCAAGTATGCGCAGACGAGTGTTGCGGAGCGCGATTTTCCCATTGCGCAGTGGATGAATACGCCGCCGTTTTCGGTGTTCAAGGCTGAGTCGATGTACTGGACGGCCGGGGCAAAGTCTTGAAGCAGGTTGGTGTTTGGGTGGTCTTCTGAGCGGATGTGGAAACTGGAGATGAAGATTACATTAGTAAACTGATGTACCACCCTTGGGACAAATACAGTACATACTAAACACATCGGTTAGCACACTAATATATATGAGCTGAGTTTTGACAATCATTCCACGTTACCTGTTTCAAATGCCTAAATTTCTCCTGTAGTAACGGGTCATAATCTATCACTGATAGAACGTGCGTTATACCTGCTTTGTCTATCAAGTCGCCTTGGTATAGGGCGTAGAGGCCGCCGATGTAGAGTTTACCCGCCCGGGGGACGAGATCGACCCAGCCCATGCCTGTGTGTCCTGTGCTGCCGTGGAGGAGGAAGGACATGTATTCGGGAAGCTAGCTGAGTAATAAGGGTAATGCGAAGAGCTGTAGAATGTGTACAGCGATGGATGTGTGATGGAGTTGATGGCTATGGGAGGACGAGAGTGTACGATCGCGGAGAAAGTACCGAGGTACGATTGGAACAGGACATCATCTGCTCTCGATGTAATCTCTGAATATAGTTGCACGCGAATTTTCTCTTCTTTCGCATGCCTTCCATTAGCATGCGGTGGGTATCATCGCTGCAATGTCCAAATGATGTTGCGTGAGAAGTGCTGCCCGCGATCGGCCAATGACAGCCTGTGAGAGAGGCCCCCACGTGCGTGGAGCGCTAGACGGCGGACGCGCCTTCCAGTCTCGCCATGGGACGCGTCAAACTTCACACTTACTTTCTGCCAACATCACGCACAATTCCCAGAGATCGCGCGACATCATCACGGCATTTGTCCTGTACGCTGTGGACCACCATGCAGCTGGGCCGTAAGAATGGGTTTCAACGATGCAGATGCGTGCGGACCCGGGCATGACGTCAACGCGACTCTATCACATCCATGGATTGATAGAAACACCATTGTGCGCTCACCCGTACAGATTGCATAAAGACGAGATATGTACGCACGACATCCTCTAGTAACGCAGTTGTTTACATGGGTTTGGAGCTTCCAGGTCTCTCTGCTGTTTCCCTACATGTCTTCGAGTGTTTCCCGTCTCTTCGATTTGTCAATATTTCCATTCTTCAGAAGGAGAAATCGCAATCCCGACGCAAAATTTGCTCGCATACATGCACAGCAGAAGAGCATGGTATGGTCGGGCTTTACGCATACTTAGACTGCCTCGTGTATAGACGCCGGCGGTGAGGGTGTGTTAACGTCGTGTAACGTGACGGGGCGCTGCCGCGTCTAATCGACTAAGTTGGTCACGACAAGTCTCGTCTGGTGAAGGGAACACAGAAAGTGCTCGTCCCAATCCGGCTAGCTGCAGCCAGACGCGGCTTTCAGCAAACGAATCTCTACAACACAGACCTGTCTGTATTTTGAAATTTCCTTTCTGCTACACCCACAGCCAACCCGCAAGATGGCGATGAGACCAACCCCGGTTGTACGGGGGCCCTTCTTCTACCCAGTGGGCAACACTCCAGCTGTGTGCTTGACGCAAGCTCTCCCACCCGATCAGGACGCCGACTTGCTACTGCTTGGTTGTGGAGACATTCGAAACATTCTCTTCACTAGCTATAGTGGAGCTGGGCTCAGTAAGTCGTATTGTCCGGCCGCAGTTTGGGACCCATGAACTGACCAAGACAAGATGGTCGTAGACTCGACTTTACGTGCTGCGACCTCGAGGCGGAGATCATCGCGCGCAACGCACTTGCACTGACGTTCATTCTTGACGACAAGAAAGGTACCCGCGTACGACAGCTATGGAACATGTACTATCACGTCTTCATTGATGGCGAGTCAGCCAGCCTGCTACGGTCGCAGTCAAGAAAGCTCTCAGCCCTTGCACAGTCATTAGAGAGCTGGAACGAAGGCCCTTACGGAGCTACCATCCAGTTCTGCGACAGCACAACGCTCGGAAACGTGCTAAAGCTTTGGGATCTCTACGCGGCTGAGCCAGCCCACAGCAATACATACGATGAGACTCAAACCTTGCTCAAAGCTCAATGGAATACTGCCAAGAAGTATCACGAGCAGAAGGTGTCTAGCAATGGATATGCGGGAGACGGTGGTCGCGCGTCAGCTCCACTTCTAACTGAAGGCTTCGAGGACTCAATCAAGCAGTTCCGAACATACTGGCAGAGTGGTACGTGTTTAGAGGACAAGAAGATCATCGACGGGCTCTCGATTGCCAATCCAATGTTCATCTGCCGTCGTGGCGACCTCATGCTTCATTACGGGACCAATCCGCTCACCGGCTTCCATTTGGCTCCCATGCATGCGCAGTTATCCGCAGATTCGCCATTACTTACGTCGAGCGGACCCATGGACGGAAAACTCTCAAAGGCCATGCAAACAGCTATCTCTCAGCTCTCTGCATGGTCCTCCGCCTTCAAGAAAATGTCCACTCGTGTGACTATCCGCTATATCAACTGCGACGCGTTGGCATTTTGTCGAACCCTTCAGGAACAAGTCGTACACGGCGAGTCATCTACCGCTGACTGGTATCGTGATATGTGGACATATGCACCACTAGTTATTGATGCCGCTGCATACGCCAAAGGTGGCTCTGCGCCTAGAACCTTCAACGTCATCGACACTTCCAATTTGTTGGATCATTTGGGCTGTTTGAACGTTCTCACTGCCACTGCGTCACTCGTCCGGCAAAACGTATCGTCCATTCTTCGAACAGAGATCCTGATCGTGCCGGAGAGCTCCGACTCGACCTCGGCCACAACTCTGCTCTGTGGAGATCTTCCAACTGTAGCTCTTCTACTGGGACTGAAGCCTGTTCAGTATTGGACGAATGCGACGCCTGTTTGGCATTTGAACCTTGCCAACTCTCACGGCAAATGGTCCCATTTTAGCAACGTTGGAAGTCTCTCTCGGCCTATCATACTGTGGAAACCCTTTGATACTTCCAAAGTCCGCTACGATCCAGATGAGCTAGCTAGAGTTCTCATATCCATATATCGATACATATTGCTAGACGAGCGCTATTTGGGCTGCCTGGGTACGCGCGGTAGTACCTTTGGCTTGTATAGTCCAGCGAGCTTCGTGTCACTGCTGCAGTACATCAAGGCGTCCAAGGTTGTCGACTGGGCTTCTTTCATACAGGCCTTCTTCAAACAAGGCTTCATGTACGGAGGACCTTTGAACACATGTCCCTACAAACTCCAGTCTCTACTCGTTCATCTTGACGTACTCTCAGTATGCAAGGTCGAAGACCATTTTGACTGGTGGCAGCCACGAAAGTCCGAACTAGGCCATCTTCTTTACGACTGGGAGGGCATCCCTCCAATCTTGAATATTACACTCTCAATTCCGCACGAGAGGGTAAGGATACTTGGTGATATCGTCAACAGCGTTGGTACTACCCTAGGCCAACTTTCACTGGACTCCTCGAGCGGTTCAGCACGCTCGGTCTACCCTGATATTCAGATGGGATTCGGAACAATCAAGTCTTCCGGTGCAGCATTTACAAACAATTATCGACTGACGTTCCTGGAAGACGAGAAAGGCTGGCAGGGCGACTCACCGCTAATCGTATCCGCTACGGTGTCAACGCGCAGCCTCATCGAACACACAAATGATGAAAGTTACATCACTTTCGAACCCAAGGCCACTTTCGGATCTATCGAAAAGTTTATGACCGCATTTGGACCGGGCCTGGCCGTGTATCGATCTGCAGTCGGCCAACACGATGTCTTTGTTTCACCACATTCGCCCAATTTGCAGAAACGTGGCTCTGTGAACCAGATTGTTACCTCCGAGTCGAATGAAGGCAAGTCACCTGCCGAAAAGATTCTTCCTGTCACTAACATGAGCTCAGCAAGCGACGTCATCGCTACCATTCACCCCATCATCGCAACTGGTACAAATAGCGTCAAGTCGCTCCGCGTTCGCTACGTCATTCATTCTGGAGGGGTCAAACGTTCTTTGCAGAGCGGAAAAGCTGTGACGTTCAGTACGCCAACGACGTTCTCGTTGACTCTCAATATTGGCGATCGTTACCGCAAAGATTTGACATTACCTTTCCCATTGGACAGAGACAGCGGTAAGGTCAAGATCGCCCGCAAATCGCTATGGATAGAGTATACGGCTGCCGTGCAGAATGGAGCAGCAATCTTTCGAAGCCCAGATAACATGATGCCCGTCCATCTTAATGAGCAGTAAGTGGGCCAAGGGAATTATTGGCACCCACTAACACACCACAGGTATGGGGTCTCTCTCGAACAACTACATTACGTTCAGCCCGATGTTCTGCCTAAGCTTCACATCGGTCCAAAACCCTCAAGTGCCGCATGGGTCGACGAACTTGCCTCCGCTAATTTCACGATGTCGGCAGAGGAGTTCCGAGATTACAACGTGTTTCTGAGACATGACCACTTACCCATGCCTGGACGTCTCGGTGTGAAAGAGACATTGAAAAGTATCTACACCAACCTTGTCGGAGCAGAAGACTACGAGCAGGTGGCGATCTTCCAACTTTCAGATTTCGGCCGGCTCTACGTCGATTCAGTCCGCATGGATGTCTCAAACCAAACATACTTCGCCGACGCTGCCTTCATTCCATGCCATCAAGGCAAGGACATGATGCCCGTTGCCAAGGTCATGGATAAACGCGGAGACAAGATGGTGTGTCTTCAAATCGAAGAAGACGAAGCCACTTTCTGGAAGCATATACTACCAGGGTTCGCCGAGCGTTGTCGTTTTTGGAAGCACAAGCCAACATGCGAGTACAAGATCGCAAAACACATCCCAATCTCGACTGGCTCTGGCAAACGCTACATGTGCACCTGCGGCATCGGTGCCTTCCCAGCAGACTATCTCAAACACATCAAGCGGCCCAAGGACTTGTGCAAGTTCGCTGTTCGCGTTGCAATTCCAGTCATCTTCGCATCGCCTATTCACGCCATCGTTCCTCCTGTCGCAGCGCCCGTGGCTACTCCATCGCCTCCCCCTCAAACTACCAACCTACGAGAACAAGCACCTGTAGGCCAACTCGAGCCTCGTCTGTCTGACTTGAGCCTAAAGAAAGATACATGCTTTGAGTGCGGCGTGGGGAGTTGTCACAACGGTTCGGCTCTACTTGAGTGTGCGGGATGCAAATATGCTCAGTACTGCTCTAAGGAGTGCCAGAGGAAAGACTGGAAGAAGGGCCACAAGCAATTGTGCGCACAGCTCAAAGAGGGCTAAAGCGCTTGACTGCGCTCTAGTGTTGTGGTAAAAGCTGGAGATACTGAAAGCATGTGTCTTGTTAGACTTTGAAGTTCACTCTTCTCCGGCTTCCGCGACGACACCCGAGCTGCGTTAGTAGCCTACTTGTTTGGGATGGAGGGGTCGATTGGAGGACTTGTGACAAATCTGCCGCTCATCTCTGGCGATCATTGGGTACCAAGGCTTGGAAGTGTTGACGTGGACAGATGGTGCTAGTTTGATCACACCATGTCAGAACGCAGAATGTTCAATACTACTAGTATGCGCGATGTTCTTAGTACATTGTCTGTCGTGAAGCTTTCGAGGGTCGCCACGAAGCTGTGATGTGTAGTGGCCGTCTGCTGGTTGGCCTCGCGGTGGTCTGAGCGGCTCTTTGTCGGCTGGTGGATGTAACCTAATCATGATGCAAATAGCGATGGTCAGGCGACGTGTACGTGCTCGTTTTCAGCCGCCTGCCCCGGACCTGCGTCAACGGGTCCACAACCCCGCAAACATCAGCAGCGTTCCACGATACCGGCGACAGCGCAATGTACGACAACATTTCGATTTGTGAAGCAAACTCGTGAGTGCAGTATGACGACAATTGTCCAGGGAATCAATGGGGCAAGCAAGCACGTGGGGCGCGAAGGGTCCTGCACGGAGGTCCAAGAATAGACACTAGCGGTTATCGATAGATGCAGGGTGGCGATAGCGGAGCGCAACACCAGGATCGTCAGGGCAGGCCATGCAGGGACGATGTTAGCTGTCAACTTTTCTTTTCGGGGCGTGGGCTTCACAACTGTTTCAAGAGTTGAAGCGCGATGGAAGTGCTCACGAGGACGCCGGAAACAATGTTTGCAGTGCGACGCTGCCGCGGATGCATTTAACATGCGACACAAACGGCTAGCCCTTCCGTGATTTACGGCCTAGCGTGATCGTAGGCGGATGGTGCCCCGTATCTGCGCGGCGGGCCACCCCTTCTTCAAAGAGAGTGTCGCCGCTCCTGCCTCGATTCACTCCTCAGTGCCCTTTCTTATCCTTCGGGACCACCTTCGCTTTACTAACCCGGCAGCTTAATCAACTTTCGTTTCCTAAAGACATTCGCTTTCCGAAACTTCTTCGCCGTACCATCTCAGGGGAACACAAACCACGAATTTCACGCGTGCGCCCTTCCCTTGCTCGCCGCACAACCGCCCGGGCCCCTACACCTGCAGTTTCATCCAACCATCGAGCGTACCTGCCCACGATAACTACAAGAGAGGTCGTGATACCATCATCTTGATCGCTGCGCTACTCCACTTGCCGACGATAAGGTGCTTACACGACATCGACGATCCCGCAAACGGTCCGACATCATGGTACGAAGTCTGCTGTCCGCCGCCTTTACGGCGACAGTACTGGTAGGCACAGCGCTTGCCGGAGCAAAATGCACAAAGGATAGCCACTGCCCTCAGGACACGCCATGCTGCTCTCGTACGTGTCGCAAAATTCCATCGCATCGGGGCTGATGCTAACAAAATCGCAGTATATGGCGACTGCGGTGTCGGCGCTTTCTGCCTCGGTGGCTGCGATCCCCTCATGTCACACAGCTTCGACTCGTGCGTTCCCGGTCCCGTATGCAAATCCGGAAAATACACACTAGACAACCTCGACGATGTGCAGACCATCGACAAGTACCTCGGCGATGCCTCCAAGATCAACTGGCAGTCGCAGGGCATGCCCACGATATACACAGACCCCAAGACCAAGGAGAAGTCAACGCTCTTGACTATGGCGCAAGGGACAGTCGGGACACTACTGGCATCTACCTACTACGTCTGGTACGGCAAGATCTGCTCCAAGCTTTCCACAGCGCAGGGCAAGGGTGTCGTCACTGCCTTCATTCTTATGTCGGATGTTAAGGACGAGATCGACTTTGAGTGGGTTGGCGTGGACACAAGCCACGTGCAGTCCAACTTCTACTCGCAGGGTGTCACAGTGTGTAAGTAATCCGACATTCGGGCTAAGCCACCCGCGCCTGACTAACGCGATTCCAGACACCAACGGCGAGAACCTTACTGTACCGGACGCGAACACGGTCGAGGCCATGCACGAATACTGCGTTGACTGGAAGGAAGACACCCTGGTATGGTCCATCAACGGCAAAGAACAACGCAGACTCGAGCGCTCCGACACATGGAACAAGACATCCGGCCGCTTCGACTACCCCCAGACACCCGCGCGCATCATGCTTTCTCTCTGGCCTGCCGGTCTGCCTTCGAACGAAAAGGGTACCATTGAGTGGGCAGGAGGAGAGATCGACTGGAACTCGCCCTACATGACCAACGGATACTACGCCGCCCGCTTCTCCGAAGTCACCGTCGAGTGCTACGACCCACCGGAGGGTGCGCAGATCAAGGGAAAGAAGACCTACAAGTACACGGATGAAGCCGGTACTAACAACACCGTCGCCATCACAGACGATTTAGTCGTTCTGGGTTCACTCATGGGCACCGGCGAGAACCCAGGAGAGGCCAAGGACAAAGACGACGATTCCAAGGCCACCGATGTTGCCATGGTACCTGGCGGTAACCCTGGAGGTGGCGCTGGACGAGAAGTCGCCGAGACATCAGCTGCCGTACAACCAAATTCGCCTGCGCAAGAGACAGGTTCGTCTGGCAGCGGCGCCACCGCTGAAGGCCAGTTCGTCCAAGGTACAACTGGTAGCACTGGTGCTGGATCCTTCATCCAGCCCGGCCTCGGACGCATGGGAGGATCCGTCTTCGCCATCATCGTCGCCATCATGGGCTTGATCGCGTTATAATCGCATTACCCATATTTTCTTTTACCGTCTTATGCCCTTTCTCATGTCTGTCTGTCCGTGTCTATCCTTGGCGTTTAGTTCGATACCTGTGGTCTTGTAGTTTTGTGTACTGGGGAACAGGGGTGAGACGGGTTGCATACTCTCCCTCGTCGTCTTGTGTATAGTGCATACATTTTCCTTCCTCCTTATCGTCCATCACCCGCAGTCTTCTGATTATGACATATATCCTGTCTAGATGGTTGAATCTGTTTGATACAATAAATGTAATACCGCATTTCAATCCGCTGCTTCTTTCTTGATGATATATTGGGGATTGACGAGTAAAGGGTAACGAAGAAAAGAGTTTTGGTCGAGCTGCAGCATACCCGGATCATCTACAGAAAGTCTCCATCCGGCCATGCACCGCATATGCATGCCCCGCGCGAGCATGGAGGCATATATAAGATGTTCGCAGCATCTCGCCGCAAAGGTATATCCAGTACCAGGATACCTGTCAGCACTACAGTGGTGAGTCTCGGCTAACTACCCCAACCGTTCAGTGGATGCATAATCTCTCCGGCCCCTGTAAATTACCATGTTGATGACTGCAGCCTCGTTCGACGGGAGACAAGATGAGCGAATTGGAAAGAGCTTGGTGTGCGGAGTGTTATCTGATGCTGGCCTTTGCATGAACAACATACTTGACCGATGAGATGGGTCGGAACATAAAGACAAGCCCCTCGGAGGAAGGTTGCTCTGGCGTGGAAGGTCCCTTGCCGCCCGTTTCCTACGGCAATTTTGAAACACTGCGATCATTCAACACTTCCTCCACATCATCATGTCTCTCGCACTCTACGCTCTCCTAACTGCCCTGGTAGCAGTAGCTGCCTACAGCCTCCGCAACGTCGGTCGCAGGCCCGCCAACTACCCTCCAGGCCCACCAACACTTCCCATCATAGGAAACCTGCATCTAATGCCGAAAGAAAAGCCGCATCTCCAATTCCAAAAGTGGGCTGAAGAATACGGTCCAGTATATTCGCTCATTCTCGGTACGAAAATCATGATCGTGTTATCGTCGGATCAGGCTGTGAAGGACCTGCTTGATAAACGGAGCGGGATTTATTCGTCGCGCCCAGATATGTACCTTGGTCAGATTGTGAGCAATGGGTGTCGTATGCTGCTTATGGTAAGCTTCTTCAATACTTTCGATTGGTGATTGAGCTGACAGCCGTAGCCGTACGGCGATACATGGCGCATGATTCGGAAGATTGTTCATATCAACCTCAATGTCAAGGCGGCGCGTACATATGTGCCATATCAGGAATTGGAGAACAAGGCCATGCTTGTCGGCTTCTTGGACAGTCCAGATCTCTTCATCGACCACATCCGCCGTTACACAAACTCCTTGACCACGCAGATGATCTTCGGGTTCCGCACTACAAGCATCGACGACCCTAAGCTAAAACAACTTTACTCGGTAGGTCGAACCTCTGGAATCTATTGTCCCTCTAACACCACCTCAGGGCTTCGAGAAGTTTTCCGAACTCATGGGTGAGACTACAGCAAAACTTGTCGACCTCTTCCCAATACTGCGCTCATTACCCGACTTCGCGCTTCCCCTACGAAAATACGCAAAGGAACTGCACGAAAAAGAGAGCGAGCTATACGTCGGCCACTGGCTAAACGTAAAGAAAGCAATCAAAAACGGGACGGCCAAACCATGCTTCTGCGTCGACCTAGTACGCGCGCAGGACGAGGAGAACTTCTCAGATGAGCTCGCAGGCTATGTGAGCGGTTCGTTGCTGGAAGCTGGATCAGACACTACATCCGCCACTCTCATCGGCTGTGCGTAAACTCACCCCCTGATACCCACCATCGTTGCAACTAACCCCCCAAAGTCATCCAAGCCATGATCCTCTTCCCCACCGTCGCAGCCACCGCCCGCTCAGAACTCGATCTTATCTGCGGCGCCCGCCTCCCCGCCCTCTCCGACCTACCCTCCCTCCCCTACATCCGCAGCTGCGTCAAAGAAAGCATGCGCTGGATGCCCACCGCCATCCTCGGTGTCCCACACGCCGTAACCCAGGACGACGAGTACATGGGATACAAGATCCCCAAAGGCGCGGGCGTGCTGTGGAATGTATGGGCCATTCATAATGATCCGGCTCGGCATGCTGAGCCACGGAGATTTGATCCCCAACGGTATTATGAGGATGGG